TTTGTTATATGTTGTTTATTTATTGCTCTTATTATTGGAAACCATCCTGGGACGATTTCCATGTAGGATGGGGTAAACATATTTTAAATAAATAAATGGATAGATGGATGGGTGGGTGGGTGGGTGGAGGGGTGAATGAGATGCTCACGTGAGGGTGGATTGTTTGGGGGCAAATGCTGACAGTGATCCTGCTTACAGTGGGAAAGTAGTGTTCAGTGTGAAAGAGGGCACAACAATATTCTTGTATTGGAGCCAAGTCATTGTGGCATTAAAGAGATGTGTTTCGAGGAGCACACACAAGAAGATTCAAGTCAGAATTATCCAAGTTGGTTATTATCCATAGGATGAGATGGAAACTGAAATTCCAGCCACTCTTGGGAAGCGCAGACTAGAGAGGAACAGAGCAGCTTGGACATAGACATAGGATCCAGCAGACCCATCACTCCAGCAAGCAGCCAAAGCCCTAAAGAACCACTCTTGCAGTTGTCCTGGATCCATGTTTACCTAGTCTGCTTGGCCTGAAGCAAAAGAAGGTTCAACAGGAAACCACAGGACATGGGAAGAGTACCAGGCTCCAGAAGAGAGCATGACCTGCTTAACAAATCAATTCCTCACCAACAGGTGGCAGGCTTGGTTCAGCCAAGAAGGCCTCCACCAGAGTATAGGGGTTCAGTCTGATTTTGACCACTGTCAGAGCAAGTTTTCCCTCAACATTGTGCCCAGCTAATCCCTCATCCTGCTCCCTGTCTAATCCTGAATATTTGTTGTCTCCAGCTATCCTTTTCTGGGGGTCCCACAGAGACACAGCTGAGGGCCCATGCTGCCTGCCTTGAACCCATCTCATGAAGTTCATGCCTGTCTTCAGTGGACCTTGTACTATCAAGAGACCAAGAAAAGGTAATCCACATTCTAATCGTCTAATTAGCAGTGCACATATTCCGCTGTTCCATACAGAGCAAAAATAGTAACAGAATTTGGCACTGAACATAGAAAAATAAGGAATACTTGATACAAATCTTTATCTCCCCTAGAATGCCAAAACTATAGCCTTCTGTGGGAGCTTCCAAGTTCTTAAAAAGTTTAATTTACATTCCATCCAGCCTATTATCCCATACGGAAGAAATGGTGTCATGCATTTCTTTCTCCCTAACATCACCCCTTCTTTTGGAAAAGAGTGGATGTAATCCTTTAAAAATTGGAGTAGCAGGGTCTCTGGTGTCCTTAATCCTGGCTAGGAAGGGGCAAAGTCTGGCAAGTGTGTTCTTTTCATATTTCTTGCATTTGGGGAAACATACTCTCTGGTCATTTCCCACGTAATCCTCCATTTCAGAATCCATTTCCAATTCATTATACAGGGATTTGCAGTCTGCAAGGTATGTTCTACACTCCTAAGGTTCTCATGCACAGGGAACATATATTTTCTCATAGAGTCCTCCATGCAACTTTTTGAGAATAAGGTTAAACTTATATGTTGCTGAGCTTGAGGTCCCTGAGACAGCTACTGCTGAAAGGGCTGCAAAGCAGCATCCAATTTAAGATGTGTTTTGGTTATGCAAAATGGGACTCTGAGGCTCTTTACGTTGCTCAAACATAATCCCTAATTATCTTATTTTGCCAATTCTGGAGTGAGGGTGTTTTTTTAAGTGAGGCTGCAGCAAGAAAGTGAAGAGAAGCAGGTTCGGCTGTCACCTAGCAGCAGCCATTCCATTCTCAGAGCTGAGAGACCCAATTTTGGCTCCCTTTCTCCCTGATTTTTTGTAAGAATTACTTCGTAGCTTAAAGAAGCAGGGCTGGAATTTACTTATTTCCTCCTTTCTCACAATCCCTTTTCATAGAATAGTAGATATGGAAGGTGCCAGAAGGCCATCTGGTCCAACCCACCACTCAGTGCAGGACACTAAGTTAAACCATCCCTCTTAGATGGCTGCCCAGCTGCATCTTGTATGACTCTAGTGCGGGAGACCCCACAACTTCCCTAGGTAACTGATTCCATTGTTGTAATGGTCTAACAACCATGACATTTTTCCTGATAGTTAGCTGGAATCTGGCTAGATTTCCTTTGTGCTGTGCTTAACATCTTAAAGACAGAGACTGCCTTTGTATTGATCTCTGTAATTCACACTGGGAGAAAAAGATAAAAGAAGTAAATAAAGGAATTATCTGAACTGGGATGTGCCACTCTGTTTCCTCTTGGGTCTGCATAGCTTATTTTCTGGGGAAAATATAAAACTTAAAGATCTGTGTATAGGTATAAAAACCAGGCATACACAGGCACCCTAGCTATGAGCACCAGTCTTGCTGCACAGGTGCCAAAACTGGTACCAGCTGCCATCAGCAAGAACAGAACAAACTCATTCTCTTCAGTGCCCAAAACACTCTTGGGCCTTGGGAATGAGTGGCCAAGGATCCCACTGGAATCACTTGCACTGAGCTTCTTTGAAGCTCCCTTGTATCCTCGGGGGAGCACAACTAGGGTACAGGTTTTGCTCAGCCTGCAACCTGGTTGTTAAATAAGCATTAAAACTACCAAAAATGTGTGTCCCTTTGTGAGCCTTTCCTTTTCTTATCTAAAGAACACTGTCTAGATTTTGGTGAAAACAGGGCAGAAGATTTGTTGAGGATTTAGGAACAAGAACAGAATAGAAAAAAGGTTAGTCATGTTCAGAACAAAAAACAGTAAGGATTCTAGAAGATTCTTCGTTGTTCAGATACCTGAACAGTTTCAGTAGGTTTGCTCAATAGAGGCATTTCGCCTTGTGATGACCTCAGCCAGGATATCTGCATTGCAAGGACAGCTTCCAGTTGACTCAGCTTTTAGCTTAAGCAAAGACCTGCAATTTATTCTGTTTCCTGGACCTGGGTAAGAAGGAGTCAGTATGATCTGTCCACGCGAGCCACTCTAAGCCAACCTTAACAACATATGTATGCATTTATTTCATTTTCACACCACCCCAAAAGCCAAGTTCTCAGGGAAGTTAACAAAAGTTAACATCAAACAAACATTAAAAAGACACACACATTAATTTAAAAGAGCAAAACCAAAATAGCAATTACAATATAACATATAGCAACTAGACAGTCATCTGAGTGGGATTGTTGCAAATTGCAGCACCCCAAAACACCCCAAAAGTAGTTGGCCAGAGGGAGGCTACATAGTAAAAACACCACAGTTATACTGTCCCAGAAGGAAGGGGGGATAAGAACAAAATGAACTTTGTGGAATCCACAGCTAACAAGCTAGCCTGACCTCAAATACAGTAATCAAAGGGACAGTGGACACTGGTTCTAGCCGCCATGAATGTTGCAAATGTGCAAGGAGTAAGAACATGGCAAGCCTGTGTGAATCTCCAGCAGATAAGAAATAAACATGGGAAATGTCTGGTCCTTGACAGAAAAAAGATTCTTTGAAGCTAACAACAGTGGGGTGTGGCTACATCAATGTATTTATACATTAGATGAGTATTAGGTGACCTAATTGCTTACCTAGGGTATAAACACATGTACCGGGATGCAACTTGAGACACTGCTTTGGGTTGAACATCCCCTTTTGTCTCTCTTTATTCTATAGTGCACTAGAATAAACCTGGTTTTGGCTCTAAGTCTCATCTCAGGATCCTTCTGACTTGGGTCTGGGGTCCACCCAGGTTTGCCCTAGCTGTTGACTGGCTGAGTTCAGTAACAGGATGGTATAAATTTGTGTCCTGCAACAGCAGAAAGTTGGACCTGATGGCCTTCTTGGCCCCTGCAAACTCTACTATTCTATGATTCTATTCACATAGCACCTGGCACAAAGATAGTACAGCATACTGATTCTAAAGGCAAAGCCCTAAAATGGGAACATTTGCCAGAGTGCAGTAGTCTTGCTGTAGTTAGCCATATAATGGAAAGGGGGAAATGGTCATTGGTCTGGAGGCTGTCTCCTCTCCAAAAATGGAAAATGAGGGCTACCATTCCAAAGTACTTCTTAGGAAATCTGTATCAATCTTCTCTACCTATCTCTAGCTGCAAATTTGCTATGCCTTTAAGAACTGCTGTGAGATACACCTTAAAACGGAGCTGTAGGAAGAGGCATGAGACTCAAATATATTGGGCTTCCCCAAGCTGGGGCATACTGGTAGTTGTAGTCTAAAACATCTGGAAGGCATTAGGTACAGGAAGGCTGTTATGTTGTCTGCCTCCTAATGACTGATGGGAATATAAGAGTCTCCAGAATAGCACCTCAAACAGATTTCACAACCAGTGGATGGTAAAATAAATGCCAAAACACATGCCTGATGCACAGTTGATTCCTTCCAGCACTGAGCTGTATGAAACTATTTATTTGGTACAATTGAGAGACTAAAATATGCCCACGTGTGCGATGTATCAAACATCCAGGCTTCTCACTGTTGTTATCCCATTGTTTACTTTTCCAAGCATGGCTAAACAGTTATGCAAGAAGGTCAATCAAATAACCTTTTCCCTATTTACATATAATGGGAAGTTTGACAATTCGACTTTCAAAGCAAGAAAAAACATTCCAGCACTGAGAACAGAATTCCACCGAATGCTTTAAGTGTGACAGATGCCGTCACAGTAATTGCCAATCAGCCCATACACAGCAGCTGAAAACACAAAATACATCACTTTGATCTCCCCAGCTCAAACTGCATTTCACAATCAAGAAATCTGTGCCATTTACAGAAGCTGTCCACCATGCTCTTAAATTTGAAAAGATGCTTTTTGTTAAAACTGTGTATGGTTTTTCATAAGCAGAAGTGTGATAACTTATTCAAAACCATCTATAAGATACTACAGATCAAAAAGTAGAAGCAAGCATTCCTTCCTTATGCAACAAATTACATCTCAATTTCTTCAAGGACAAAGCTCATTACACAGAATGCTTAACTTAACCTTACTGCTAATTTAGTGAATATTTAAATTTATTAAATTAGCACTTTGAGAAGTTATATATAAAATTTCAGCTGATTTTTTGAAAGTGTAGGAAGTAGCCTACTTACATTTTGCAGGCAGGTCATAGCCACAAGTGATTTTTGCTTGTCCAGTTTGACAACCACCCAGGTTGCGACATTCAGCATATAGGCAAGGCCCAGCTGCTCTATGTATGCAGCCATCAACTACAAGAAAAAAAGAACATTATTTTTTTGAGCACCTAGATTTTTTTCATGGGTTTCAAAAGGATGGGGCAGAGCAAAAACAGCTCCCAAAGATTATACTAACCTTTGGATGTTATTAACCTGACTCCAATACCATTGTCACATGGGGGTTTGATATTCTCTAAAATGAGGCAGCAGGGGTTTTGACCTCCCTTCACATACACACTTAAACAAGGGTGGGGAGAAGGTTCGCTTGAAATGAAAGCAGAGCTGCAGTCAAAGCAGTCTGGCACTGCTCCCATTTGCTGCAGGATGGCCCAACGGAAATAACAATATGGGGTATGTAACAGTCTTCCAGGGGATTCTTGTAGGGAAAGATGGCTGCTCCCACTGGGCAAAGCTTTTAGCCTTGCTTAATAAATGGAGGGGAAACAAAACTATCTCCACCTCATGTTTCTGATAGACACTCTCCCAGCTGAAATTTAATAGATTTTGGACATCCCTCAAAAGTCATCAGAAGTATATGCATCTGTGCATATATACACAGGAGTCTGCAAGACATTGAATGCCCTGCAAAAGTGAGGGAGGGAGGAGAGATTCAGTCCCCCTGCTGGAACCTGAACACATTGTGCAGCTACAGGCATTTACTGTGATCACTGGCTATGGATGCACATATAAATAGAAAGATGCTGAGAATATATATAAAGGAATTATCACAGTACAATCTTGTCATGTTCATGTTCCTGATTATTTACTTAGCCAGTTACCAAGTGAGAGTAAAATTTGGTTTTGTTGTTATTAAAAGACAGTGAGAAAATGAAAGCATAATTCAATATTACTTTGTGGATACTATCTAATTCCTTTGGGTTAGTTGCTGGGATATTAAATGTTAGAAATAAATTACATAAATAACAATATTCCACTAAATTGCTTAGTACTTCCCACATCATAAAGTCTTTTAATGCAGAACAATTTGCACATCACACCATCTTTCCTTGAACTTCATTCACATTACTAGTGCAATATTCTAAACATTTAATCATTTACATCATAACAGCTGCGATTGTAATATCAGCTAAAAGTTGCTGGTGCAGTTCTTAGTGCTTATTGCCCTCAAGAGCCTAGAAGAAAAATATCAGAAGTGGAAAAATAGGTGAAAATAAAAGAACATGAAAAGTTATTATAACCTATTCACAAACAAACAGAGATTTTCCCACCACCACTACTGAATTCAGAAAAGAAACATTAAATCCAATTTCAATAACACAGTTGATATTGTAAGTCATCACACCAGTGCAATGCTAATAATTTGTTATAAGAAACCATATGTTCTCTTCATACATTGAGATTATGGCAGCACACTCCATTCTACAATGGAGCCGTATTTGACATTTCTTGCCACTGCCCCACTGATCAGTTGCTGCTTCAACTCAGCTCCTGAGCTACCACCATTTCCTGCCACCACTCCAAACTATGTATATTATTATTATTATTATTATTATTATTATTATTATTATTATAACATTTCTATGCCGCCCCTTGCCGAAACCTCGGGGCGGCTTACAACATGATAAAATACATTGAAATACAATAGTACATAATATGATCACAGAAGGGATTTAAGCCACAGTAGCTTATTTCCTCTCTCCTGTATGCCAGTCACATGCTGGAGCTTGAGGATTTGCATAAATATCTTCAACAGTGCAGCCTGTCATGTTGCCTGTTGCCCTGGTAATCCCCAACCCACGACACTTGTTGTTAAACCAACCCACTCACCCCTTTTGCCATGGGTTGTGAGCGGTCCATTAAGCCAATAGCCCATCTCCTGGGTTCGTACAACATGACAAGCTATGGTGATTGTGCAAGACTGGTCAACATCTTGGCACTGGCATGCATTCTGTGGCATTTTGTGGAAAAAAAGAAAATGGCTGATAACCAAGAGCTGCCAGTTATGACCCCTCTGTGACTATGCCCAAGGGCCCTGTCAGTCCTTCAGCAAGCTCTGCGGGGGATTTTCAGAGTGAAATGTGTGAGGCATGAACCCTATTATAGCTAGACACTGCAACAGCTTCCTAAATGTTAGTCAGATACATCTTTTCTTTTTTTCTCTCTCCTTGTAATCCTAGTGGAGCCAAGCAATTCTGCTGTGATGGGTTGTTTTTGGTCTAAGTGTACACACACATGCTCACACACACTTTTGAACAGCTAACATGAGTGGAGACTTGGGTAGAGTCCAAAGGATAAGGAGTAGAGCCTGATGTCTTCAAGGCCTTCCGGGGTTAATGTAGAACACCCAACCTATTTTCCTTGCCACACAACAGGAAAACTGAACTGCAGTTGTATGTGATTACAATGTGTAGGTGTACTGTGTATTTTTCTTGTGTTACTTAGAGTCACATTTCATGCCAGTTGGAAGTCTACAAAGAGTGCAAGAAAATGTGGAAATTGACAGCACTGCTGCAAAAGAGAAGGAAGCTCTTTAAGCAAGTGAAAACTTCTGCTCACTGCTAATTTAACTTTTCTGCTCCTGCCAATATGTCTTTAAAGTTAAATGTGATGCTTAAGTGTAATGTGAAGTGGCACCCTGGCTCAGGAATGGTTAGGAAGAGGTTAACCTGGTAACAGTTAAATGTTATAAATTACCAGGCCAGCTCAGTGGACATCTGGCGCCCAAGGTCTTAAAAGTCATCCTCCTCCCTTTGTCATGTAGTTTGGGGAGTTACCAGAAATTATGGTCTCAAGGATACTTGAGATACTTGAGATAACTGGAATGTCTGGAAATGAATGACACCTAGAATAGATGATGGGCCATCACACCATGGGTCTGCTGACCAGTGACCGGGGTGGGTGGGATAAAGGCCATGGTGCAGAAAGATCCTTGGTTCCCTTTTCAGGCTCCCATGCTGTGGCTTGCTGCTTCTGTCGATTAACATGGTGAAGCCCTGCATGTTATGCCTTGTCTGAAGGTAGAGTCTTTCTGCCTAGCTAAGGCTAGGGTTAGCTTTGTTGTCTTTCTGTCTGAGTGGGTTTTAGGCCTCTCAAGGCCTTGAATTTTAGTGTGCTCGGTTTGCTGTAAACTGTGCTTTTGCTGCTGTCCAACTTTTCATTCCCTTTGCCCTCTTCCCAATTCTATTCCTTTTATCTTGCATGTTTCTGTACCTTCCACACCTACGTTTTATCCTTTTAAAATAAAAGGATAAAAGCTTGGGTTGTCGTGTGCTAAATCCAGTATCTGGTCTGGGTTGCCTGGGACTAGAGAGTTTCTGGGCAGGATTTTGCCCAGTTGTCTGAGGAATTTATTGTTTTTTTATTTAAAACTTTTATATGCCATCCCTTATGCATGGCATCTCAGGACAGCTTACAATCATTAAAACGAAAACACAATAAAACAACCATATCAATATAATAACAAATAACCAGAAAATATAAATTAAATAAGTTAAATAAAAAGTGACTGTTGACCATTAACATTATTAGTTTTTAAAATAACAATTAAATAAAAAGGAATGGGGAACCCCTGCCAGCTTTCCATTACAATAGGCTTCAGTGTAACCAAACTCAAGAATATCTCTTTGCATGTGCAGGTAAGGCTGGCAGCATCACCTGAAAGCCAGCATTTGAGCTTCAAAAAAGCTAACATAGATTTGCACATGCTGCTTTCATGCAAGTTCAAAATAGAGTTCAGAAAAGGAAAGCCCATTAATGTCCCATCCAAATCACCCCAAAACTTTAAATTAAATTGTACACCTTCCCAGGTCATCCTAATAAATTCTTCAATTAATTTACCCACAATTTAACCAACTAATTTCAGCTCATTTTTTTCAAAATCATTCTTTTCTATTAATTACCCCCATTCTTCAATAACCCTATATTTAGCCAATGGATTTCAACTGAGTGACTGGGATGCAGCCACAGAATTTCTGTTTCCCACTCCACCCCACAAAGAATGTTCTTCCCAAAAAAGACCTCCCCACTAGAGATTAGCATAAAGCAGGTGGGCCTTATTATGGGATGAGCTGGATGGCAGGTGCTCCATCTTTCTCCTCCACCAACAAAGCAAGTGGGCAAAGGCAAGCCAGCAGCTGCTGCACCATGCTGATAGAACCCTTTTCTCTGAAATTGCTGGCTTAGAGCCCACCACCTCTGTCCCAGAAAACTCAAGTCCCAGTCCAGCAGCTGAGCATGCCCACTCCTAGCTGCTCTCTACTCTGCCACACTGCACATAAACTGACACCAGAGGTGCCCATTTCCATTTTAATTTCCTTTCAAGGGATGCTATCTGGAAGAAAGGCTGGCTGCTCCCATCTAGGGAAAACCATCTCCACCTCTGCACAGTGTCCCTCAAAAAGTACTAGAAATTGCTAGGTTGGCATCTGGGCTTCCTGGGGAGTGGAACGCAGGCACTAAAAGTGGGCTGGTACAGAGTCCCAGTCTATCCAGTAAACTGCACAAAATGTAAATTGAGTCCAAAAGTTTGGCCCTAGTTGGAGCCACTGGCAATCAGTTGGCCAGGAACTGGTATATCTGGACCCCCTGTTGACAATGGTTGTGCACACAACATGGCCATGTATTTTATGAAGACCCTGAGGGTAGTTGAAAGTCCAAAGAGTAAAACTGAAAATTGGAACATCTCTCTCCTGACATGGAAACACAAAAAATGTCTATGAGAGGATGCTATAGAAACATGGAAATAAGCATCATTTAGGTCCATGGATGCAAACCAATCACCCCATTGGAAAGGGGGCAGAATGGCCTGCAAAGTAACCATGTGGGATTTTTAGGGTGAAATGAAAAAGTTAAAGTCTGTCAGGTCCAGGATTGGATGAAGCCCTCCACCCCATTTTGCTACCATGAAATAATGTGAGAATCACCTGTGATGAGCAGATAAAGTGGGATCTGCTAGATTGTCTTCCTCGAAAGGAGTGAATGAATCTCTTCTAACAGTGCTGGAGATGTAAGTGTTGCACTCATGGTACTGTTGCCCAAACAGGCCAATTCGTGTTCTGGTGTGCGTGGACCCA